GCGATGTAGCTCAGAAAACAACGCCGGTAGGACCTGATATTAAAAATAAGACTTTTGCCGGCGAAGCCAGTTGGCAGAACATCTTGGCTGTCAACAACAAACTTTCGAATAGATGAATAGTTTGGCTGTTCTTTCAGCGTCGTGTGTCCATGCAAAATTCGTCAAAGATTTTGATAAAGACCTTTCAAAATACTATTTGTTTGATTTATTTTCTGCCATAAAGCATAAAAGAAAGGAAATTCGAAGAAATCGATAATGGATTTGTTACGTGCGTTTGACCTTTATATTAATTCTCGCCTTGACCGAGCTATTTTTAAAACTGTTGTTTATGTGAACTTGCAACCAATCAAAATCTTAGGGCCTGAACTTCAATTTAAATCTACAGGCACGATGTTTTATATTTGAAGTATTCAAGCGCGAACAGCGGTATATATTTATTATATAGTTTTCTTTGTTTTTCTTCATTTTAAACACTACTACTGTATTTCTGGACCGCTCGGCCCCTCCAGGTAATGAAAATTTATACTAATACGTGCAAAAATTACCAGAACCCGCCCGCCTCACAAAATGAACCAATTTCATTGCTCGACATATACAAGTGATCTATGGTCACAACCGCTAATTACAGACGTCTGGTATTTCTATAATTATATTGGAACGAAACATTATTTCTTTCTTTAAAGTGCATATGACATGAAATTTATTATTTTCTTAAATGAAAGAACTCTTTAAGCTGTAGTGTAACTTATATTTCAGTTTCTTGTTTTTATGGTTTGATCCCGAGATATTTCAATTTGTTTGACATGTAAATGAGTGTGAATAAGTCCGCTAATTTATGACGTCACGTTGGTTGCAAGCTCCTCAAAATGGTTGAATATCACTGCTATCATCCAAGATGATAACTTCAAACTTCCCTCACTGGTAAATGTGATGAAACACTGGAGAAAAACGTGAACTGATATTTTCAGTTTTTAGAGTTAATACATTTATAGCCAGTGTAAGTTGAGCTTGCAACCAACGTGACGTCATAAATTAGCGGACATATTCATACTCATTTACATATCAAACAAATTGAAATATCTCGGGAACAAACCAAAAAAACAAGAAACTGAAATATAAGTTACACTACAGCTTAAAGAGTTCTTTCATTTAAGAAAATAATAAATTTCATGTCATATGCACTTTAAAGAAATATTTTCTTGTTGTTTTTGGAATTGCTAATTTTTGGCGGGTAAATTACGTCACAGCTATTGGTGATTTCGTGTATCCATTTACACCGTTTGTTACACATAATGTAAAACGAGCTACCATGTGTATGAACCAGCGACCAATCATGAAACGTAGAGATATACATGCATGTGGACGGATTTGACAGCGAATTGCATGAAACGCGTATTCAATACAAAAATTTGAATATGCATAATCATTCATTATCGTCTAGATTGTATTCAACGTCAAGAAATAAGCATACAATAGCATGTATATGAGGAATCATACAAGTCTAGAGATTAGACATCAGAGTCAAAAAAGGTATTCATTCTAATGAAAACGTTGTTTATTAATATTGTTAAGCACCAACAGGCGAACAATAAAATGAATGTATAATCATTACAATGGTCTTAATTGCCAACTGTGTATTTCTAATAACAATAGAATTCTTATCAAGTTCATTTAACACCGATATCTTTTCAACCAAACACTACCTATAATTGGCATGAATGTGGTGGGATATTCCTATAACCCCGGTGTATAGAGACATGAAAGGGCTTGCGCACTTTGTTTAAACAATAAGCAGTCTCACACAAACAAAAAATATGGAACATGGTTTGTGTGTACTGTACAGGGTGTATATAAAAAAGGAGACCTTTAGAAATCAAGCATATTGTTAAAATTTGAATGCCTTTTCAATTGCACATATGCTGAACCGTGGTCCGTGAAATATTGATGGAGTGCATATATTAGAAAAAGGAGACCTTTAGAAATCAACCATTGTTATAATTTGAATCCTGGAGCACTTTGCTAAGCCCACGAGTACGTAACATGCGATCTACGTACAGTATGCATGGCAGATTGTTCCCAGGAGCAGACAATCTTTTGTTTAAACGTTATTTCAATTTCTAAAGGTCTCCTTTTTCTAATATATGCACTCCATCAATATTTCAGGCATTCAAATTTTAACAATATGCTTGATTTCTAAAGGTCTCCTTTTTTTGATACACCCTGTAGATTATACTGCACATACAATGTGTAGGTACATGGACATGCGTAATGGATCGCACAAGAACACAGAGACCGAAATTCAGCGTTTGACGGGTGATAGAAACGCGGCAAGAAATCGACGACTACCTTAAGGCCGGATTCCACGAGGCGGAATTTTTCGACCAAAACAAAATTTCTCTTTGTTTTTTTACAATTAGTTCTGCTCGAGAGCTCTGAAACAAGGAGAAATTTCGATTCGGTCGAAAAATTTCGCCTAGTGGAAAACCGCCTTTAAGGCCTGATTCCACGAGGCGGAATATTTCGACCGAAACGAAATTTCTCTTTGTCTTTTTACAATTAGTTCTGCTCGAGAGCTCATGAAACAAAAAGAAATTTCGATTCGGTCGAAAAATTTCGCCTAGTGGAAAACCGCCTTTAGGAAGAGTTTCGAACACATCTTCTCCTAGATGCCTTAGAGCGAAACATCGGTACAACAAATGCAGCGAAGTGCGGGCAAAGGTACTGCTTCATGCAAATATACATTCCACGCTGCTTACAGTAAAAGGGAGGCCATTCAGGGTTGAAGGTATGACATTTCCTGCTTGAGAGGGGAGTGGTGGGGAGGGGTGGAAAACAAGTCAGGGAGTCGGCAAAATTGAATCCCAGTCGGCAAATTGTTTTCGTAGTCAGCAAAACATGAATTGGATAGAAAGGAAAAGAACTAAAATATATGAGTTACACCGATTGAAAACTAATAATTATAGCAAACATTCTGAGAAATTTACGAAAATATTAAGGAAAAATTAATTGAATAACGGTACGTTTAACCAAAATATTAATTAGTGGTTGAGAGGACTCGGCAAAATTACACTTTCACCCCCGACCCCTACTAAAATAGGGCTACGACGCCCTTGTCAATTTGCGCTAGGTGGGATTTCAGTCAAATAGGATAAACATTTTCCATATGAACACTTCATCCCACCTGACCGACAATGCAAACAAAATTGCATTAATTGTTTTTGTTTGTGGAAACACCACGTAAATTTATTACTGCACAAAAATTGTATTATCTCTACGACGTTTACAGTTAAAGCTTCTAGTATTTCTGTTTCAGTTCATGCTCGCAATTTTAGATTTCAAAAATTTGAAGTGTAACAATAACAGTTTAGTGTTTATATAGAATGCATTGTGTACCTCATTAACAAATCGATCTGAATCAATCTGGGACACATCTATATAATTTAATGATGTTCAACATGTATTAGTACAGAATATTAAATATTTTCCACATTTTCTTTATCAATAAAATGGCAGCCGTGTCATGGCTGAAATTTCAAAAATCGCCAATTCTTAAAGCCTGTCTACACGATAGATTAATCATGTATATTCATGCCATTTTCATTCTAGAGTGACACCACAATTCTATCCCATAAGTCGTAACCTACGGACTGACATGAAGAACGAACGCAGGCTCACCGGGAGTGATATCACATCATTGAACAAGGATCAACCGTTGGGAGATATGGACATGGTCGGAGCGATTACGAAATCTAGGTGTGTCTTTTAAAATATACTATAGTAATGTAGTTTTTTACGTTTCTCTCCTAGCCATGTCGAAGGCCAATGTCTCCAATGTGAGCATATGTGCAGAGCAAAGTTCAAGGCCTATAGATCCGCCAGTGAGCGATCTTGACTTAGATAGCACTATTGATGAAAGTTTTGATCAAAGTGCAGTGAACCGCGCGATTTTAATGAGTTTGAATCGCTTAAAGGGAAATGGCAATATATTTTTTTATTTTCTCATATGAAAGAACTTTTGAAACTATTTAATAACTTCTCTTACCGATTCTTCATATCTTGCTTAGTTCTTGAAATATTTTCACTTGAAGTAATGAGATGTCAGCCATCTTGGATAAAATTTTGATCTCATTAACGGTAGTTTTGGTGACGTCACAACAGGGATTAACCATATAAAAGTATTCGTTACTGACCAAATATTGATTGGTAGATGTTTTAAACGTTTCAAGTGATCTTGATATTTCCAGGAGCATACAGAGTATAATTTTGGGTGCAAAATGATTAGTGGTTGTCTAGATAAAAATATTGCGTGACCCCTGTTGTGACGTAACATGCATATCCACAAAAATCCAAGATGGCGGACATTTCATTTCTTTCGATTAAAATATTTGTAGAAGTAAGCAAGATATGAAAAAACGGTAAAAGATTTTTATATATGGTTTTAAATGTTCTTTCAAACGAGAAAATAAAAAAATATATTGCCATTTCCCTTTAAACGAAAATTTTACAAGCTTTACTGAGCAGTATCAGGAAGATGATGTTGAAATAGATTCTCAGCCAATTGACGACCATGTTGAGAATCTTGCAAATGTCGATATTCAGGCGGACATTGATAGTTTAATTCAGTCAGGCGGACAAGTTGACCGTGTTAGTGCCGACATCACTAATGACAATGCAAATGAAGCTGAAGTTTTGCAATATGAGAACAATTAGATCTTAACGTTGATGTTAAAGGGCCAGCAATTAGCCAGAAAATTGGCGGTTTGGTTAATAAATTGCGACTTCAAAGAGTAAGCCAAGATCAAGCTAAAGCGATAGCCAAATGTCATAATACACCCGAAAATGTTCAATTACGCCTGCCTAAATGTGAACCAAGTATTTGGAATGAAATTCCCGGCAAGGCACGCGTTACAGACATTAAATTCCAGTCAACACAAGCTGCATTGTTAGGTTCTATTAATTGCCAGCTTGAAGCAACTAATTCCTTGCTGTCGGCTAATGTGTCCAAAGATGTTCTAAACAGTTGTTTAGATGGCATCACACTGGCAATGACTGCTAATTATGAGCTCAATCAACGACGACGGGATGCCATCAGACCTCAATTTAAAGCGGAATTTGCCAAGGGGCTTTGTAGTACTATAAGTCCAGCTGACGAATTTCTTTTTGGAGGCGACACTGCTAAACGCGTTAAAGAGATGGCCGAGTTCAACAAACACAAAGTGTGTAAAGGCTCGACCAGCTTTCGTGGACGAGGTGCGAGATTTCACCCGTATGCTATGAGAGTTTTTCGAGGCGGTTCAATGCGTGGTACGGTGGTAGAAGCCAGCGTGGCCACGGTTCTCAGCTTGATTCTGGTTTTCATCAGCGCCAGAATTTTCAGAATGTGCCCCAGTACGAGCGAAAGGCAAGCAACCAAAAGCCCACTCGCAACTGGTATGTTGACTTATTAACTAACGTTAAATCACTTATTTCTGAGCAGCCAGGTTTTAGGGGTGGTAATACTAAGAATTGTGTTTCTAAATGGTCAGAGATCACATCTGACCCAGAGATTTTAGATTATATAAAGCATTGTCACATTGAGTTCATTGATTACCCTTCTAAATATAGTATTCCAGGGCATCAGCATTTTAATGTCCACCAACATGATATTATTAGTAAGGAAGTAGATAAACTACTGCAGCTTGGAGTCATATCTAAATCGATGCATGCTGCGGGAGAATGTATATCTCCAATTTTTGTAGTACCAAAACCGGATGGTTCATATCGATTGATTTTTAATTTTAAGCGCTGTAACCAGGCTGTTTTTTACAGACATTTCAAAATGGATACGCTTAATTGCTGCAATTCTTAGTCTTGTTACTCCGGGAGCCTATATGGCTTCTATTGATTTAAAGCATGCATATTACACTATTCCTATTGCAGAGGAACAACGGAAATTTCTCAAATTTGTTTGGAATGAACAACTGTATGAGTTTTGTGTACTGCCCATGGGGTTAACTAGTTCTCCCAGAATTTTCACCAAAGTCATGAAGCCAGTTTTGGCTACTCTTCGACAAAAAGACACATTAACAGTGGTTTTATTGATGACTTTTATTTTCAAGGTCAGGAATTTTCGGATTGCGCAGTTAATGTATCGGATAGTGTCAGACTTTTTATTAGTCTCGGGTTGCATGTACACCCTGACAAATGTGCATTGATACCCTCCCAAGAGCTCTTAATTTTGGGGTTCTTAATAAATAGTTTGTTAATGATAGTAAAACTTCCCCTAGAGAAAAAGGTAAAATTGAGAGATCTCTGTTTACAGGCTTTGCGTGGCAACACACTTACAATTCAATTCGTAGCTAGTGTTATTGGTACACTTATCTCTGCCCTCCCTGGGGTTGAGTTTGGTCGGTTACACTATCGCAATCTTGAACGCGATAAAATTAACGCCCTTGCACGGAATAATGGAAATTATCGGGCACTTATGCACCTTTCTGAGGCAGCAAAGCAGGTCTGGAGCTTCAGTGGTGGACTACACATGTAATGCATGCATCTGGGCGACTGCGTCATCCCGTCATCTCCTATATCTTTCAGACTGATGCCAGTGATCTTGGCTGGGGCGTAACGTGTACTACTAATCCTCAGTTACAGTCTCAGGGTTTGTGGACAAGTGAACAGCGTACCCTACATATTAATGTAAGGGAACTGTATGTTGTTTTTATATGTTTAACAATATTTTGTACGGACAAGTCTGAAGTCCACATTAAATTCGAGTTAGACAATATGACTGCCGTTAGTTATATCAATCACATGGGGGGATGTAGATCTTCTGCTTGTGATACAGTAGCCAGAAAGATTTGGGCGTGGTGCATTTCCCACAATATATGGGTCACTGCTAATTATATTCCAGGACCCAGCAATGTAGTTGCAGATTCACTTTCTAGAAAACATCTGTCAGATCATGAATGGCAGCTTAATACGGATATTTTTCACAAACTCTCCAAAAAATTCCCTAAGTTTAGTATTGATCTGTTTGCATCTTTGTTGAACAGACAGGTAGCACGGTATGCCTCTTGGCACCCGGATCCACATGCTGCAATAGTGGATGCTTTCAGTGTATCATGGGCGAATGAATATTTTATGCTTTCCCTCCTTTTAGTCTCATTCCGAAATGTCTGGAGAAAATCTCTCGAGACCAAGCCGAAGGGGTTTTACTGGTCCCTGCATGGCCCACACAAACATGGTACCCTCTTCTTCTACAGATGCTCATTCAGCAGCCAAAGCTGTTGTTGTGGA